ACTCGGTATGTTTCATGTTTTGTGTCTGTGGTCGCATAAACAGGATGGCTACTTTTACATAACTCCATTAATTAGGGTTAAATATTATTCATATGACAAATTTGACCGATGGTTCCTATAAAAACACCGAATGCTTAAGGGATGTTGTCCCTGAGTGGGTTGGGATATGACATTACTGCTCACCTGATACTGAGTAAACAAACTCCGTCAGCTGGGCAGACAGTTCCTGGACCAAACACTGACCTTTGCTCAGATCGTGTTTTTTGGAGACACACAACCCATATTTGAAAGGCACACACTGTTCACCAGACAGCAAATTTATCAGCATTGTTAACAATAATAAGAAGTGCATCGACTTTAAAGTTTTTAAAAAACATTTTGTGTTAGGAGTGCTGTCGATGCCTAAAACTTAAATTTATTTCCTTTTTTTTGAATGATTTGTGGGTATTTTATCAGACATGAAAACAGGATCTCTTATAACCGCTGTATACTTTTTAAATAAATTAGAATTATAAAAAAGCAATGAGGCAAGTTGTATAAAGTACTCAGTGCTCAGGTAGAGTATAAGAACCAGTCCAGTCCATGCATCACTGTATGAGTGCTATTTTAATTGTTGGTTTGGGTGAAGCTCTTTTTCTGAAAATAGCAAAAATATCACATATCCTCAAACAGTATGCAAATAGCTGAAAGTCTATTTAGTCAGTCTTTTTCCTGATTTGTTCATTTACTATTTGTTTGAGCTATACTTATAACAGAATTTGTTATAATAAAACCTCATTTATTCTTTCATAATGATTTGTGTTCAAATTCCTTCATTTGTAAAAGTAACTGAAAGCTAAAGCTTTCAGATGAGTGTAATGAAGTACAATATTTGCCTCTAAAACATTGTGGAATAGGAATAGAAACAAGCAAGAAACAGAAAAGAGTCATAAAACACAGCTAGCTCAAATGTGTATTTGAAGTAAATCATACAAGATAATGTCTGCACTTTACAACCAATCATTTGTCTAAGCTTTAGTTATAATGACTATTTTCTGTTAGTATTTGTATACTAAGAATTGGGGAGATATAAAACTTCATTAACTGTATAAATTACCCTTTTTTGTCTAGCTAAAATATTTAATGTAAGATATTGCTGTTAGCTTCATATTTAGAAGCTTTACCTGTCAGTTCAGCCTCTTATGAGATTATATGTACGTTACAATGACATTGGGTAAGATTTGCAACTCTATCCTATGAGTCACCTGTGAGAAATCATTAATATAGTAAATGTTAGTGGACTTAATATCTAACCATGTCGTAGGGCCATTGTAAACCTGAGGTTAAACATTAGGTTTAATGAATTACACTGACTGCTTTGTAGAAAGATAAACAGAAAGCAACAAACACTCTACTTTTTTTTTTTTTTTTATCTTTAGGCTTCATCAAAAGGTTTTCTCTTATTCAGTAACTTAATTATTTTGGAAAGGAAAATATCAAATCCAAAAGAAGAAACAACAACATATCAGAACAGCCTCATATTTCACACAGTCTTGCCCTCCTCCATCCTGTTCAGTAACTTCTCTCACCGTTTTTTGTTTAAACTAATTTTGCTCCACAGAAGTATTATTTATGTTTTGATGGTATCCATTTATGCATTTTCTGTTGTTGAGTCATAAACAGTTGCTTTACCCTCAAACTTTTTGAACATTTGTCTGAGTTTGGGACGATTTTTGAGCCCAGTAGATTTCATGCATAGTATTTTTAAAGACTTTTTATCTGTAACT